GGTGAGAATGTGGTAAAATTTGAAAACGGAAAATTTGTTTTTCTGGATTTCTTTTGAAAACACTGTCGGTTGGGTTTAGGGAAGTGGGTGGGCGCTGGTCAATCAGTACTTTTGAAAACACTATTGGTTGGGTTTATGAAGTAGGAGGGTCGGGGATCGGTCGGTCAGTTAGTCAGTAAGTCAGTCGACAGCAGCCTCTGGTGGATTAATGCGGAAACAGCAGGGGCAAATGACACTCGCGAAAGAAATTTGAGATCCCAAAAAGCATACACAGCGGCCTCTGGTGGATTCGCGAATTCAAAAACTACAAAAAAACCAACCTCCTGCGACATATTTGGCAATCTCCAGAAATGTATGTAGGGGTGCATAATCAGAATAAACCTGGGTTGTGTTGCTCATCTGCTTTATTGTTCAACATTTTGTGTATTCAGATGCGCCTTTTTCAGGCCTTGGCTGTAACAAATTTTTTATTTTTTTTTTGTGGTTGTTGCTTTTCTTCTTCATCAACAAGGCATTATCACCCACAGATCTGTCATTCATATGTCACATATCTTGTCTATTGGATTATTTTCTCTAAACTTTAGAGATTGGCATCACGGTGGCACAGTGGGTAGCAAAATCGCCTTACAGCAAGAAGATCGCTGGTTCATGCCCTGGCTTTGTCAGTTGGCATTTCTGTCTGAATTTTGCATGTTCTCCCCATGTTTGCATGGGGTTTCCTCCAGGTGCTCCAAAAAACATGTGGTATACAGTAGGATAATTGGGTAAGCTAAATTGTCCGTAGTGTATGTGTGTAAGTGAGTATCTATGGATGTTTCCCAGTGATGGGTTGCAGCTGGAAGGGCATCCGCTGCGTAAAAAAACATTTGCTGGATAAGTTGGCGGTTCATTCCGCTGTGGTGGCCCTAGATTAACCAAGTGACTAAGTTGAAAAGAAAACGAATGAATAAACTGTAGAGATGGCTGTGAAAATTCCAGTTGATCAGTGGTTTTTGAAATAACTAAGTTAGCTAATCTGCTGTCAACAGTCATACCACTCTCTGAAGTTACTTCAAACAGTTTTCTTCCCAATTCTAATGCTCAGTTTGAAATTAAGCAGATTGTCTTGACCACATTTACATAAATGATCCCTTAAAGTGGTGTTCGTAGTAAAGTGGCTAGTGAGTGTTATTATAACACACTTTTTGACAGGTGGATATTCGTTTTTTCACTGTCTATCATCCTCATGTCATTTTTACAAATTTAAGTGGATTGAACATAAAACAAATTTTCCCAACAAAAGTTTTCCCAAGAATTGTGTTGTTTTAACTAATTAAAAAAAAAGTAGTTTAAACAAGCAGCAAAAGTCATTTTTTGAGTGTACCTATTTGTTAATTAAATAAAAGGCAATGTTAATATACCTAAAGAAAGTACTCTTTCAGGACTATGTTTTCTAACATATGGTATGAGTACACGTTTAAAAAGTGCATTTTGTAACAATGTCAAATTAAAGATTCAACCAGGCCCATTCTGAATAAGTATCGATATACACATTTCTGGAGAGCCCCAAATACGTCCCAGGGGCTACGTTGAAGTCCGAATTATTAGCCCTCCTTTGATTTTTTTTTTCTTTTTTAAATATTTCCCAAATTATGTTTAACAAATTCAGGCAATTTTCACAGTATGTCTGATAATATTTGTTTTATTTCAGCTAGAATAAAAGCAGTTATTAATTTTTTAAACACCATTTTAAGGGCAAAATTATTAGCCACTTTAAGATTTTTTTTCGATAGTCAACAGAACAAACCATCATTATACAATAACTTGCCTAATTACCCTAACCTGCCTAGTTAACGTAATGAACCTAGTTAAGCCTTTAAATGTCACTTTAAGCTGAATAGAAGTGTCTTGAAAAATATCTAGTCAAATATTATTTACTGTCATCATGGCAAAGATAAAATAAATCAGTTATTAGAAATGAGTTATTAAAACTATTGTGTTTAGAAATGTGTTAAAAAAATATAATCTCCATTAAACAGTAATTAGGGGAAAAAATAAACAGTGGGGCTAATAATTCTGACTTCAACTGTGTGTGTGTATGTGTGTATATTTATATATAGTTGAAGTCTTAGGGGGCTAATAGTTCTAATAGACTTCTACTGTATGTATATATATATCTTCTACTGTATGTATATATATATATCTTCTACTGTATGTATATATATATCTTCTACTGTATGTATATATATGTATATATGTATGTATATATATATATATATATATATATATATATATATATATATATATATATATATATATATATATATATATCTGTCTCTACATATATATATATATAGAGAGAGAGAGAGAGAGATGCACAAGTCCTGAGTTATGCATTAAGTGTAATATTTAAATTATAGTGCTTTTTATTTAATTGCAATAACATGTCGTTAACTCACCAAAACAAGTAAATTGAATGTAAACTTGAGTATATATATATTACTATAAATCTTTTAAAATGATATTCTTTTAAAGCTAAGCTTAACGTTTTTAGTATTGTAAATAAAAATGTTTAAGAAGCAAGACTGTGAATTAAGCTTCATGAAAGTGATGAGAAAGCCTTTGAGACAGGATGTGCCATAAATGACGTGTCATTTCCTGCCAGGCTTAAGATCTGTGAGCTGAATGAGAGATATGTCTGTTGCTTTACCACCGACTCTGATGATATCTGGAAAATCTAACACGATTAGCAGAAACAAACAGCAAACAAATCAACTTATGCAAAGCACAATCAGCAAGATTAAGTGTACTGTGAGAAAGTGCCAGAGAAGAAGCAGCCTGTGTCACAACATCAGCTTATTACATTGGTTTAATATAAATATAAAAAAACTAATAAATATATATTACACATTTCAATATATAAATACACAGAACGAATGTTTGTGGACTATAAATTAAATAGACTTACAACAAAAACAGCCAAAATTACATCAATACAGCAGAGATAATAGAAAAGTTCACTGTATTCAAAATAAATATTTAAATAGTTTCATTTTAGAAATCAGTCTTTAGCTTTTCGTAATACAAAATTACATTGTGATTCAAATAAATATTGAAGTAAATCCATGTTATACATCAGTCTTTAGCTTTTAGTCTTTTAAACCATGACAGAAAGTACAGGCTTTTGTCAATTCACTGTAAAAAGCAATTAGTTGACCACCTTAAAAAGCGAGTAAAAATAAAAACTAACTAATAAATAAAACGTGCATAATTATAAAAGTTAAGTCAACTTTCAGTTCCTAGTTACAACATGTTTACTAATTGCATTTCCTGGTTATATGACCAAGAGTAGTTTTTTGAATTCACAAACACCGTGTTAAAGTCCAGGTGCCCACAGAGTAGATACTCGGTCCTACTGTAATCCACCAGCGCATCATCTGAAGTGAAGCCCACAACCTTTATTTGTTTTTGTTCAAATGTGTGTTAAATCAATCTGTTCTTTCAGAAAGTGCAGCAGAAGATCCTTTAGAAAGTACATCAGGCTGCTGAATGTGATTCATGGCATCTGAAAACAGAGGAACAGACGGGTTTAATTTAATTAATTCTGGAATTAATAACTAAAATATAGTTGTATGGCTTGTAAACATTTTTGACACATATTTAAGACAATGCTTCAAGAGAAATAAAGCATCTTGTATAGTGTTTTTTGTTTGTTCACACAAACTAGAAGTGGCGATATATTGAAATTAATAAATTCAACTGTTGTTTATTATTACAAGTATAAATGAAATAATTTTAGAAATTTACTGATCAAAAAATCATATCCGTTATGGAAATTTTCATGACCTTGACTGGTTTGTTTTTTCATGATTATTCAGATTGTTTAATATTTTAAGCAGAAAAATAACCAGTTTTATGCAGAAACATGGTTAATAGTTTAACTAGAAACAAATATGAGGGAAATCAGGTTTATTACAATAATCTTTGGATCTTTTTTCGCTTGTACACTGTATTGGCTATTAAACTAAGATTATGATCATTAATTTTACTTGCAAATATTTAGCCACTGACAACTTGCAATATAAATGTAGCATTAGAACCAGAAAAAGTATAGATTTCCAGGACTTTTCCATATCTAGAAATCAGACTTTTAAAATTCAGTATATATCACTATACACTAATAGAATAACTAAACAACACATAGAATAACAGAAATAATAATAATAATATCAGTATACACATGATTTTTGTTGCTTGAACTACTTATTCAAAATGAGCTGAATCATCACAGTTCTTCAGTTTTTTGGGGCACAACTTAACTGTTTTATGTTCAATGCACTTACATTTGTAAAAAAAAAAAAACAATAATAAGTGAACTTAACTGATTTTTGTTAAGAAAACATGAAGGAATTGTGTAAAACCTAGCATTTACTACAGTAGTAAGTTAGCTAGTTTATTTATATAGCACATTCTTTACAACACAACGTTGCACAAAGTGCTGAACACAGTCAATGCTAAAAATAAAAGCTACATCACATACTTAACAATTAAAACACAAGGCAAACCCCTCAACATTAAAAAGGCTCAAATACTAAGGAACAGAGAGTTTACACCAGTATACTGTATATCAAACATGTCCAAGAATATGACAACCCTAGTTCTTTAAAAAAAGAAATAAATCCAGTTTACTTGATACTTAGCTTTATGTTGTATTTAAATAGTTAATTAAATGTAAATAATATATAATTAAAATGTATACATTTATATTAAAATCAATTATTGAAGTTTAAAAGTTTACTGATGCTCTCTAGTGGATTCTGAGCCCATTTGAGAACCACTGATTGAGTGTTATTTTCTAATTTATTATTAAACATACTACTACTACTGATGATGATGATGATAGTAGTAATAATAGTAGTACTGGTTGCATAAAATAGGATGGTATTCTCTGTAATAATATTAAAAATGTATGTAATTCCTGCTCTGACCTAATCTTTGAAACAACTGTTGATGTATTCATACTGAAACCATTTTAAACGTTATTGTTATCACACGCACTCTTAAGACGACCTGACAAAACACTTTTGCAGCACAGACTCTCTGAAGTTTGATTTCAGAACAGTGTTAGGAACTGTCAGCAAAGTCTGTTCCTGTAAACGTGATATAAGCACACATACACACACACACTGCCCACATGATGCCCACACACACGTATATCTTTTGTTGGCATCTTGAGGGCAGAGTGTGGCTTAATGGGGAAATTATGTGTCTGTGTTGTGGGTTTCTGGTATCACACACACATACTGAACACACACCTCCTATGAGACGCACTTCCTCTGTGTTGAGTGTCTGGAGCTCAGCGCTTTTCTCTGCAAACTCTCGCTGTTGTGTGGGGAAACACAGAGGAAGAGAAAAAAAAAAACATTGGTTAGTTCACAATTCACACTCTTCTCCAATACAACGTCATTTACTGTAAATAACTGCTGATATGCAAGATAAACACAACAGAGACGTGACAGGAAATTATTATGATGTGTAATAATATACATAATTTGTGCATTAAAATAACACTTGTTAAGTTATGATGTTTTAATATATTAAAAAAGTCACCTGAAGGAGATAAAGTCTGATGAGCAACTGTCTCTGCTTTTCTGTAGAGCTTCTGACAATCTCCAGCCTACAGTCCGCAAACCAGAACAAAAGGTTATGTTAAGAATGATATATCAAGTAGAGAGGAATGAGAGAAGTAAGGAGCTATCTTGTAATGATCTGTATTATATCGTTAGACAACAATAAGAGGAGTTTACTTGTTAACAAAGGTTCGGCAGTAGAATCACGCTTCACTTTGTCTCCTTAACAGGAGACCTTATTTTTTATCCAAACATTAATCCAAACTGCCTACATATAATTAATAATAATAATTATTATTATAATAATAATACATTATGAGTAATATTTTTACATATATATATATATATATATATATATGTATATATATATATATATATATATATATATATATATATATACACAGTTGAAGTCAGAATTATTAGCCCCCCTGAATTATTAGCGGCCCTGTTTATTTTTTCCCCCAATTTCTGTTTAATGTAGGGGAAGATTGTTTCAGCACATTTCTAAGCATAACAGTTTTAAAAAACCTACTTCTAATAACTGACTTATTTTATTTTTGCATGATGACAGTAAATATTATTTTACTTGATATTTTTCAAGACATTTCCATACAGCTTAAAGTGACATTTAAAGGCTTAACTAGGTTAATTAGGTGAACTAGGGAGGTTAGGGTAATTAGGCAAGTTATTGTATAATGATGGTTTGTTCTGTAGATTATCGAGAAAAAAAATAGCTTAAAGGGGCTAATAATTTTTTTCCCAAGAATGGTTTTTAAAAAATTAAAAACAGCTTTTATTCTAGCCTAAATAAAACAAATACGACTTTTTCCAAAAGAAAAAATATTATCAGACATACTGTGAAAATTTCCTTGCTCTGTTAAACATCATTTGGGAAATATTTAAAATAAAAAAAAAATTAAATTAAAAGGGGGGTAATAATTCTGACTTCAACTATATATATATATATATATATATATATATATATATATATATATATATATATATATATATATATATATATATATATATATATTTTTTTTTTTTTTTTTTTTTTTATTATATATTTAATATATATATAAATAAAAATATTATAAGTCCAGAAGTCTTGTAATAACACTCCATTTAAGTAACTCTCCATTTCAATGAGTGCTCTATAAAGGGTTAATGCTAAACAAATCAAAAATGTACAAAGTCGATCATGTTGTGTCTTACATTAAGATGGATGCCTTCTGAAACAGATCCTTGAGCTGCTGTTGAGTGAATTCAGCAATGGACACACTGTTGACTGCGATAATAACATCATCTGCGATCACAAACACACACACACACAAACACACACACACACACACACACACACACAGACATACAGATGTTTCAGCACTGAGTGATTATGAATGACACTAAAGTTTGACAGAAAGAGAGCAGAAGCTCACCGGTCATTAACCCACTGCTCTCCGCAAGACTGTCCTCCTTCACAAAACACACACAAGGGACCAGATCCTGCACAGAGACACAAGAGCCAATCAATTCATCATACAAAATCCAATTATCCCTGACAGATAATAAGCCTTCAGGCAGGAGCGCAACGCTTGGATGAATGAATGAATGAATGAACGGAGGAAAGATGATGAGGATGGAGAGAGGAAGAGAGGGAGAGAGAGAGAGGGAGAGAGAGAGAGAGAGAGAGAGAGAGAGAGAGCGAGAGAGAGAGAGAGAGAGAGAAAGTGAGAGAGAGAGAGATTGTGTGTGTGTGTGTGTGTGTTTGCATGAGTAAAGAGGTTACCTGGATTTCAAAGCCAAAAGTTTCATTTTCTGTTCTTCGTAATATCACACTTTTCCTGTTAACAAAGAGACACGAGTAAGAACAAGACTAAGGTAAACAGACTAAATCTAGGTTAACATTAATCTGTAATCAGTACTTTACCTTATGCACTGCTCTGCTGTCTTATCTTGAGTTTGCACAACCTAAAAGATAACATTTCTCAATTTTAATTAATAAAATACAATTCCTTTTATTTTTACAGTGTCATGGCGCAAAAGTAAAGAATATTAATTCATTCATCACATTTGGCAAATGGGTTTAGTTATATGTTATCTCATGCAATTTATTAATTTTTGTTTTCAGTTGTTTACATACAAGAATTAGTACAAAATATACATCTCACAATAAAATACGAGAATAGAAAAAGATACTTACAAAGAATTTTCTATATGCATATTCTAATTAAAAACCATAGGCATAGACATTTACAGTTACATTTAATAAACCAAAGTAGAGGCATACTTCATTTAATTATGCGCATATAAAAAGTGATTAGGTAAAAAAGTGAGTAAACCCTTTACTTGTAAAGCGATTAGTTGACTTTACTTAATAACGTGAGTAAACCCTTTACTTGCAAAGCGATAAGTTGACTTTACTTAAAAAAGTGAGTAAATCCTTAATAGAAATTAGTTGACTTTACTTTAAAAAAGTGGAGTAAACCTTGTTTTAAAATTATTAAGTAAATTAACTATATAAAATGAAGTCAACTTAACTGTTCCAAGTTACAAATTGTCATTTTTTAGGCAATGTTTTAAACCTACTTTTAAATTACTTTTAAAATAAAGTAATCACCATTTATAGTGTATACTTTTCAACAAGAACACATAAAAGAAATGTATTTAAATACTAAATATAAGTACAAGCTTTAACATCCATACTACCATTAGATTATCAACTACTTATAAATATCAAATTAAAAAATATTAGAATAGTTATAAACTTAAGAAATGCCTCACACTGTAAAAAACCTCGCTGCTCTCATTTTTTTAGTTGAATCAAATGAACTTTTCTAGTCATATCAACTTACATCAATCAAATTGAGTAAAAATAACTTTAAAATGTTGAAACCAAAAACTTATTTAAATGAGTTAAAACAGCATAAACATATTTGTTGTCTTGACTTTTTAATCGTTACATTTTTACGGTGCAAAGTCAATGAGAAAAAGTCACTTAGCCTACCTTTCTTGTAAGGGTTTTTCCGTCTTTGTTTTTGGTAGTTTTACAGTCACTAGTTTTCCTTTGTATTTTGTGTCCAGTGTTTAGCAAGTTGTTTGTGGCGCAGCTGCTTTTGCCCAGTAGTTTTCTGATGTATTGTACAGAAGCGCTCATCTTCAGTGTGTGTGTCGTCGACATCTCTGTCTGCAGCTCAAAGCGACGCTGCTCCGGAATTTTACAAGCGCGCGCCTCTCAATGGAAGTGACGTCATCGCTGTGAAGTCCCCGGGGCTTCACTCTCTGCAAACTCTTCATATTACTGGAAGTCTGACAACGCAAGATTATGAAGAATTATGTTTTCATAGTCAACATTAGCTTTAAGTTTGCAACTCGTTTAATAACAAACCGTACATTAGGAAGTTATAGAAACATTTAGATAATTGTGAATAAATCAATTCAATGAAAATACACTAAATTGTTGGCACAATTTTGGCTCGTATTTACTCAGATTTTTAAACTTTTAACATTTCATCAAGATATTTAAAATGAGCAAAAAACATTTAAAAATGTCATTAAAGTAAAAAAGAAAACAAGCAAACAAACAAAAAACAATAGTAATGAACTGTATTTTGTGATTTTTTTTTTTTTTTTATAAATTAAACTGTACAACTATGAATTATTTGCGATGTTTGTAAAGAGATAATGTAAGTCTGCCAGGGAATTGTCTGTTTTTGTTGAAATTGTTCAATTTAAAAATCCATTGATCAATCTATTCTTTTAATCTACATTAAGCTCTTAAATTATTCTGTGTCAATCAGACAACAAGGAAAATAAATAATAATTTACTCATTTGGTTTCATTAATTCCGTTTTATTTCTTTGTCAATGCTGGTTAAATAGATGTCACTTTTTTAAAAAAATCATGTATTGGCAGTACTGTTTGCTAATTGCATTGTTGTTTTTATTTTCTAATAACACAAAGAATAACTGGCGGTTCATTCCGCTGTGGCGTCCCCAGATTAAGGCACTAAGCCAAAAAGAAAATGAATGACATAAAAGAATAACAAAGCTGCAGCTGATTAAGCTGTTTATGTTTATTATTATAAAACAATTGGAGGAAAATGTGTATGTGCAACAATAATTGTTTTGTAATTACATCGCTACCCTTTGAATTGTAATCAGATGAAACTGAATCATTCATTCGTTTTCCTTCAGCTTAGTCCCTTTATTAATCTAGGGTCGCCACAGCGGAATGAACCACCAACTTATCCAGCATATGTTTTACACAGCGGATGCCCTTCCAGCTGCAACCCAGTATAGAAAAACATCCATACACACTCATTCACACCCATACAGACAATTTAATTTATTCAATTCACCTACAGCGCATGTCTTTGGACTGAGGGAAACTGGAGCACCCGGAGGAAACCAAAATGGGGAGAACATGTAAACTCCACACAGAAATGCCAGCTGACCTAGTTGAGACTCGAATCAGCGACCTTCTTGCTATGAGGCGACAGTGCTAACCACTGAGCCACCATGTCACCTGTTTCTATTCATTTAACTGTAAAAGTAGGCTATCAATTATTTTAGATGTTTGTTAAGTGACAATGCAAACCTTTCATGAAATTATCCGTTCATCTTTTGTTAAAAGTAAGAAGCTTAACGAAAATAAATAAAAAATAAATCTATTCTATTAATCTAGATCAAGGTCTTAAATTGTTATTTGTCAATTAAACAACAAAGAAAATTGGGAATAATTCACTCATTGTATGTAATCATAGGTGTAAACAGTTTCTTAATATTTCTTATGTGAATTCTTGTTAAATGGATGTAAATTGTGTTTTTACTTGCATTTGCTTTACTGTTTGTTTAATACATTGTTGTTTTTATTTTCTAATGACATAAAAATAACAATGAATTTAACTCTAGCTGTTTATGTAATTTATTATAGAGCAATTGGATGAAATGAATGTGTGAATGTGTGTTGTAATGCAACAATAATTGTTTTACATTTAAATCTCTTTGAATTGTTGTGATCAATTAAAGAAACAACTCTAAAAAGAGCTGTAATGATCGTGTGTTTGTGGAGGATGTGGAGGAAGAGTATTCCCTGTCCAGTAGGTGGCAGGAAAGGCGTCTCTCAGCCACATACGCAGTTCAGACTAATGAAGAAGAGCAGAATCTAGGCGTCCCCCTTCTCAGCGCTGCTTTACACGACGTAAGCTTTGTCTTTTCCACATCTTTCTGTAGCATCATTAATATGAATAGCCATGCATTTAAAATGTTCGAATACCTCATTAAAATGTGCTTTTATCAGTAATGTCTGTGATTTTCACTTTTAAAATTTGTGCTAATACTCGACTCGCCTTATATAGAAGGTGCTTGTGGTCCTGATGCTGCTTTTGTTACTAGGCGACCAGGTTGACTCGCCAGCTAACCCATAAACAAGAAAAACCCTAGGAGAATTTGCTAAAATCACCTCAGACGGTATATGTTGGCGTTATCCATTCGCGTTGTTAGCTTCAAAAGCTGTAAATACGCGGATGACTAGACAATAATGACTGGTGCCCAATATGTCGAGTTGACACTGACAGTAATTCGCGATTTAATTTGATGATATAAGAACGCATTGATGAACAACAGTTCAGCTGACCTCCCCTTTTAAACAAATGTGAAGCACTCAACTTTACTGTTTGTGGAATTGCAGAGCTACCTAACCACCACTGACCACTGAAACACCAGTCATGGCCGCCGAGCCCAACTATCGCCGGACGAAACCGGGTAATGGCCCTTCAGAGAAACACAGTACCCTATTGTCTTCTTTACAAGATCACTGCATGCTTGAATTACTTACAAATAATGACACATAGATGTTGCTCTTATAAGATTTTTTGGTTCAAATCTTTGCATAATAAAGCAGATATTCTAACTGAATTGTAGGTGTAAAACAAGCTCAGAATGCTAGTTCAAACGGAGCAGTTGGACCCTCGTCCCAGATCCCAGGTTTGTCTGCAACTGCAGAGACCACTCCCGAAGAAAGGACTAAAGGACGCCGCGTGGGGATTCAGGCCTCAGACTCGGATTATGTGAAACTTGCAAAACAAGGAGGACAGAGAGGTAAATGTGTCACACTTTTGTAAAACAGCCACTTTCTTGTTTGTCTTTTTACTATGTTATAAAATAGAGCCCTATTTATTCTTACTCTTTAGGAAAGGTACAAAGTGAATCTTAGGTAGCGATTAAATATCCTGAAACTTTAAATATAATCTTCACACATATTCTGTGAATTTTTTGTGTAGTTAAACGTTGAAATTGTGGTTTAGTCGGCGCAATAGCCTAGTGGTTAGCGCGCGGACATATGGTGCAATAGCACGCCGGGGGCGTCGCAAGTTCAAATCCCGGCTCGACGACATTTCCCTACCCTACCCCCTCTCTCTCTCTCCCACTTTGCTTACTGTCTCAATACTGTCCTATCTAAAAAAGGCCAAAAATAAATCTTTAAAAAAAAAAGAAAAGAAATTGTGGTTTAACACAATTAAAATCCTTTACAATACGTAGCTGATGTTAGTGTACTTGACAAACAGTTTTTAACTTGAACAAACAAGTGAACTTGAACAAACAGTGTATTAACAAACAGTGAACAAGATTTATATATCATGTATTTATCATAGTTCAACATTTTCTAACGCATTATTAAAATCCAACGCTGTGCTTGTTAACATTATATATTGAATGATGAGTTAGCATGAAGTAACAATGAATAATTAATGTTAACAAACATAAATAAATACATTAATAGATGTATTCTTCCAGCGTGTGAGATGCTTGGGACAGTAGACAGGATCGTTTCTGGCCTAATCAGGCCAGTGTAGCTTTGTCACTAAGGCCCTGTTTACGCTAATACGTTTTAGTTTTAAAACGCACAAGTTTTGCTATGGTTACGCCATCCGTCCACACCGCTGGAGTTTTCGAGTGCCGATAATGAAGCGTTTTGGAAACGCTAAAGAGGCCGTTTTCATTTTAAACCGCTGCTGCTTCATGTTAGTGTGAATGGGGGAAAACGGAGGCTCGGCTGCAGACAGATCTGATTCGGGCCTTTTCTCAATATTAAGTATCCCACACACAGTTCTGTCTTCCATCTTTTCCTTGCAAGTTCAGACTTCGCAAGTTTGATATGAAAAACAATCTCCTCAGGACACTTTGGGTAATTCTTTGAAAGGGAACAGTGTACTCTATAACCTCATTCACATAAACCTGGATACGTTGTTTCACTATCTTAACAATAAAATGAAAACATATACTGAGAAACTGCCTATTTTCATTTTGATATTAGCAACTTAACAGACACCAAAAATGTTGAGGCGTCATGTAGCTGCATGTTTGTATCACCGTCATCTTCTCTGTATGTAGTTATATACAATATATAATATAAAACAGAGTTTATAACATCACTGCCTCATTTCAGTTTCATTGAAAATACAAAGCATACCCTGTCTCTTGCTGAATATCAGTTTTAATAATCAATAATGGCTATTATAAAAGTATAACGCACAGTAAGTTTATACATAATTTATAGGAAATAAATGTAAGCAATCAGTCAAATGTGCATGATCATGTACGCGGTTACATTAATTCATATATTAACTTATCTTTGCCCTCAGCCAAAACACGAGAACAAGTAATAGATTCAAAAGACCAAAGTCGGGGAATATGTCATTAGATATAGACAACAAGATGAATTAAAAATCATGTTTAACAAATATAGTGAGATTAGATCCAACGGTAGATCCTTGATGTGCAGTCCGAGGTGCACAGCTCTCATCACTGCAGTGCAAACCAGAGTGTGTGTGTGGTCACGTGAAGTGCGTTTTCAGCAGGGTAGTGTGGACTGAGAGTAGCTCAGAAATGCTAGATCAGGGGTCCCCAAACTTGCTCCTGGAGGGTTGGTGTCCTGCAAAGGTTTGTTCCAACCCCAATCAGACACACCTGGGCTAGCTAATCAAGCTCTTACTAGACTTTCTAGAAACATCCTTGCAGGTGTGTTGAGGCAAGTTGGAGCTAAAATCTGCAGGACACCGGCCCTTCAGGACCAAGTTTGGACACCCTTATGCTAGATAAAATGCTAGTGTAGACGTGAATCGTTTTCATTCTAAAATGCTGTTTTAAAACTAAAACGTGTTAATGTAAACGAAGCCTTAGTTTCATTTGCCTGCAAATTTTTGTCAATTGCGTACAAATACAGTCTTAGAAACTAATAGCAGTTTGTGTTTTTACGCCCTTATATGCCATCTTCTCTGTGAAGTCGTTAACCCCATATTGCTACTTAGTTCCTCATATCTGATTGGATGTATGTAATTATTTTCGTAACCTGGTAACAACCGGTACAGCGTA